GTAACGTTAGGGTTTTAAGAATGGCGTGCACTATCGACTTCAGATGCCTGGACGAAGGATTTGGAGGCAAAACATACAAGAGAAAAAGGTCTGAGCAAGTCGAAGAAGAGCTCAATCGATCCATCCAATCTCAAAACAACAACAACAAAGACGATGCCTTTATGGAAGTGGAAGAAGAAGAAGAAGAAGGGACACAGTCAAAGAGACAAGCAGTGTTGTCACGACCCAAACCCGCCCCTAAAAGTTTGGTCCATGACCGGCCTGTACGTAGGCCTCAAAATAGAAATTTTAGAATAATATTTAACCACATACGGGGCCTTAAGCGGAAGCAATATCAATAAAAGACAACATCCATTAAGCTTGTGCATACATGATGGCTTAATTAATTTAGCATTTAAATACATTCCCATAGTTACATATGCAATCACAGAATTATGCAGATCTCACACAAAGTTAAATAAGACTTCAAAAGATTACATAACTCCCAGTAATCAAAATTAAGGCCTCAACACGGAGGCGTACCCCAGGCGGCTTGGCAAACAGGTTGACCCCAATACAATTCTAGAGTCAATCCCCGATGGCTCACCTATATAAACATACATAAAAACGGAGTGAACAGGGCTCAGTGAATAATAGTACGTGATAATCCAATAACTAACTTGAATCACAAGGTATATAAATGCAGAGAACTTATAGTTAATCTGATTCTGTAATAATTTCAGAACGGCCTTAGGCCCAGTCTTTAAACAGAATGGCTTTAAGCCCTTTAACAGAGTGGCATGAAGCCCTTTTCATACATGTATGAACTCAAGAGGTGGCTCGCACGGATTCTAGAGGTGACTCGCACTACAACACTTAGTCCGTGCAGCACTTTGTTTCATACTAACAGATCATACAGAATGGCCATAGGCCCAGATGTCACAGATTGGCCATAGGCCTCACATATGTCACAGAACGGCCATAGGCCTCTTAACTTTCACAGAACGGTCATAGGCCTTAGTTCACATATGTATGGACTCAAGAGGTGGCTCGTACGGATTCTAGAGATGACTCGCGTAGCAGCACTTAGTTCCGTACAGCACTTTATTCCATACCAGAAATCCTTAGGTCTTAAAGACCAAATCATCCATATAGTGTCATAGTGTGGCATAACATTCATGAACCACGGTATTATTACCCTCGGGCAAAGGCCATAAGACCACGGTATTTTTACCCCCAGGTAAGGGCCTTGTGTTAAGGATGCCATGAATACTTATATACATATATATGTGGACAATCATTCATTTACATTCTTTGAATCATTCACGTAGTTACGTAATTGACATGCAATAACAGAATGCTAATGGCCATCATTAGCTGTAAGTAGTGCATATGTTGCATATGGACACAGTTGTCTTGCGTATAATTGAGCATTAATAATTATTGTTTACAGAAACACATGCGTCATTACAGTACTATTCATGAGAGCGGACCAATTCACACCATAACATGGGTCATATAACAATGTTGTTGATATTCAATTCTTTGATGTATAATGCAACCCGTGGTTCTATCCGATTATTCATTTCGATTAGCCATCCTAGGCAGATATCTATGTCATAAAACATGCATCGAATCAACCAGATTCTAGGAGTCCATAATAAGACATTCAAAATATAATGTTTCCGTAAGCGGGGTTTACATTCCCAATTCCTTTTTCATTAATCAATTGCACAGTATTAATAATTCGCATGTAATTCTTATACGGAGTCATAAGTAACTTACAAGTTGTAGCGCATTAATGCTAACTATTAATCGTAACCAGAATGCAGAGTAGTACCAGAATCATGCCGATGTACACAAAGTCTTTCAACGTACACAAAGTCTTTCAACGTTCTCACCAATTTCCAAACAACATAAACGTTAACGTAATTACTTGCAAAGAGTAGAGTTAATAATAAGAATTATTAACGGTAGCAAACGTACGATTACAGTACTACTACTCACAGTGGTAGGTCTCTGATAGCGGTGGAACGATGTCCTCGACTTGACCTACAAACACAATGCACATAACAGATTATGAGAATAAAACCAATCTCTTTTTATTCCTTACTCAATAGCTATGATGGTTCTAGACTCATTAGTCCTCCATAGGTTATAATCCATGCCTCATACGCTAGGAGGAATCGATAGGAGAAAGGTTCAGACGAAGAAACGATACAAACCCAGTAAACAGAAAGTGAACAATCGTCACTAATTTGAGCATAACTATTTCTGTATTTAGAATTTCGAAGTGAGACCACCACCATTGGAAACTAGACTTCCGGTGCTTGATTTTAGGCTCAAGAATCACTCAAAACGGAGTCCGGATGCAAAAGATATGCTTGTTTAAAGTTACCTAGTACATGCTGAAACAGGGGTGGCCGCTCGTGCGCCCACCTTGGCCGCTCGTGCGGTCCAATTCCACTCGAGCGGAAGAACCCGACCGCTCGAGCGCCCAAAAGCAGAATGAAAACCTCTTTTTTTTTTCTTCATGTCCGCTCGTGCGGTACCCGTGGCCGCTCGTGCGATCTGGGCAAAAAACAACAGTCCGAAAATGGCTTTTGCTCAAACACTTGATCTAACCATTTTTTAAGCTTGATTTCAAGTCTAATTACTCAAAAATATGTAAAATTTCCTAGTAACATGATAAACTAAAATCAACCAAGTGTAATCTCATCTCAAATAAATCAATCTTTGTCTCATTTTTTTCCATATATTCAAACTTCCATAATATATGCTCAAAATCATGCAAATACATCTTACCCATGGTTGATTCTCACCTTAAATCTTGTTATTCTATAAATCATTCTTAAGATTGAACCCACATCAAACAAATTAAAGGAAATCAAGGTTCAATTCATGGAAATAGTTCATTTAAACTTATATTTCTCAACCCCAACTCAATTAGGTGGTTTCTCTTCATTTTAGATCATGAATTTAAACTAGTAATAGATCAATCTTAAGGGGTTAAGTTGATTCCACATACCTAGAGCCAATCTCTTGAACTCTACCTTAATTCCATCAATTTCCCCATCTTTCCTCTTCATCCTCAAGCTCTTCCTTTCTTGTTCTCCTTGAGTTCTCTATCTCTCCCTCTCTCACGTGGCTCCCCATTTTCTCAAGATATTTTTGGTTCCAAGAGATGAGTCCATCAACTCATAAGGCATCCATTATATAAATATACCCACACACACAAATTTAACACAATAGGGAGAGCCAAACGTGGCCTTACGAATCACACAAAATCAAATTTCAATTAAACTTTTCAGATGACTCTAAAAATTACGTTGATCATGAATATGTCCTCTGTTCCGGTTTCTGAAGCCTCTAAGGCCTTCAATTTGCAGTACAAAATTAACCACCCAAACGTGCATTAACGAATCAGACAAATTAGAGTTCCAATTAATTTTCCCAAATAATTCTAAAATTTCCCATTAACGTACCCAAGTACACAATTCTAATTTCTGAACCCGTAAAGGTCGTAATGCCAGTTTTAAAGTCATAACTCAATAGATAGTTCTTCAATTCCAATAGATATAATTAAATTAAAACACATTATCCCCTAGTTAAATAAGGATGACTTCTTATACGCATTTTGGGGTCGTTACAAGTGTCATCTTTAGATAACCCAAACAAGCCGGTGGTGTTTGGGAAGCCTACATATGACGGAGTAAAGGAGGGAAGGTATCAGGGAGGAAGTGGAAGCAGTCGAGGACACACAGAGCGTCAGTAGTGTACGTGACTAGGAAGAGCACCATATACGAGCAAAGGATGAAGCAGAAGGAGATCAAGAGGGCATACACTGAGAGGATAACGAAGCTCAAGGAGGAGATCAGGCACAACAAGGTGGAGAAGAGGAAAAAACGACAAGAGAGGGACAAGAGGAAGCAAGACAACATTCTCAGATCTGGGACCAAGTTGCAAAAGATTACTAATCCCAAGATGCTCAAGAAGATTGCCAAATCTAAGCACAAGAAGCTCCTCAAGGTCGTACCTGACGATCTTCTCAACAACAACAACAACAACAAGAATACGAAGAATTAGTTTTTTAATTTTTTTTTTAATTGAGTATTTGGAGCCAAAAGACCTGATGTTTTGTAATTTTTTTTGTTACTTTGAATTTGGATGGAAATGGGATTTTGGCAGTATCTAATTTAGAGAGATATGGTGGTGATGTTGTGATGTTTGATTACAATTCTCCTCTGCTCCTGTTCTTACAATTTCAAGAAATGATCCTAGAATGGAAGTTTGAAGTCATGCCTCCCTCCCTCCTTCCCCAAGCTAGGAGGTTAGGTTACCCATCCAGAATTTTTTATTTTTTCATTTGGCAAAGATAAATAACTTCATATTATAGAAGAAAAACATATCTCAAAATACCTGCATGCCAAACACAGAAAGAAAATGTTACTACTAACAAAAAAAAAAGGGACAAAATGATCTAAACATGCATACAGAAAGATCTAAACTAGAACACAAAAGAAAGCTGAATTCAACAATAGCGACAAATAGAGATATGTCCAGCAAATCAATCAAACATGTACTAGGAAAAAAATATCTTGCAATTTAAGGAATAATACGATCGTTTACCAAAATTTTCATAGGTCTCATCTTTCATTTCAACACATGCACAGTAAAACCCTTTGAGTAATAGGGTATTATATCACTGAGGTTAGACAATCTCCTTACTCCCTCCACATGTTTGGCTGAATGAATCCTATGATCCAACTGCTATAAATTTAAACAAACATTGACTGGACCATATGCGCACTTGCTCTTAAAGCAAGGTAAAGGAATGGTGCTACTAATTAACAGGACCTCGAGCTATGAAAAACACCAGTTGGGTCTTCTATCAATCAAACATCACAAAGGAATGCGAAAGGCACAACACCAGATTTTGTTTACGCCTCAGATTTCAAGGTATGCCTCACACATACCAGATCTTCCAGCTTATTGCCATCCATTTTGTACAGTGTGACACCTTACATCTGCTTGTAGTAATCCTGTGCCTCCTTTCTTAGACTCTCAAACGGCATCACTTCCCATTTACTGTAATTTGAATGCTTCCTGACAATACTCATGTCTGGAGATCCTGAGATTGGCCCGCTCCCATCAGGACCCGCATTGCCCCACACCTTACAGCTATCAAATTGTCCCAGCCCACCAGCTTGGTCATTTTGGCCCCTCTTCAAGCGCAAAGCTGCTGCATGAGCTCTACTTATAGTTTCTCGGCTCGGCACGTCTGACCAGTCTTGCTTCTTCTTATGGGAGAATGAATCCTAATAACCTGAAAAGCATAAATTTTTGATAAACTACACGGAAATTCACTACATTGTCAGTGCATTTTTTTTTCTTCAAAACTTATACAAACACCAAGGCATTCTGGAAGTTGGTAATATGCCCGCCCTTGAAGTGGATTATGCCCTTTCCTTGGTGTGGAGAAGTATCGGGCCCCATGGAAAAAAACACAACGGTAAACAGAGGGAGAGATGCTAAGACATCAAAGTTGTTAGCAAGAATATTAAGGCCAGATAAATAAAACATAATAAGAACATAAACAAGGTTTCTCTCTTATGAAAAAGAACAGTTAAAAAAGTGAACTGACCATTCAGTGTAACCTGGATCAACTGTGAAACCATATATGTCAACAATGTCACACATGGAAAGTGCTAGTTCTATAGACTTCATTCCAGTTCCTTTGGCACCTCTGCGTAACACAATGCCTTGGAATAGATAAACTGGATTTGGAATACTCTGCCACGTACACACGACAAAACATTAGTCAAGCCAAGGGAGATTTTCAGTAACAAATTCAACCACACAGCTCCTTTGGCAAACAAAAGAAGGTAGAATCCGCGAATCATATTTGAAAAGCCCTGATTACTTTTGTCTTTGCACCAAAACAGCACGGGTACCTAAGTAAAGAATAATTCCACACGTTGTTAAAAATGATGGATGTGGCAAACTTTTTTTCTTTTTTCTTCTTTAAATCGAGGTCTCGTGGCTTGAACATCCTTCAATTACATAGAATAATTAATTTTTAAAAAGAAAAAGTAGGACAAAAGTGGATTGGCCATACTTTTGACGACTTCCCCTCCTACTTATTAAACACCCAAAGAAGGGGAAGTCCTTCCCTTTACTTCCCCCACATCCCCTATTCCAAATGTCATGTTAAGGTCCCAATAATAACAAAAGCCTCATTTATCAACAGGACCACTTTTCCTTTCCTCAAAAAGAAGGGAGTGTTTGGTAGACATGTATTGAATATGGCTACAAGAATGTAAAATAAATAAATTAATAACACAAAAGATACTCCAAGGCAAGCATTTGTCGAACAGATGCCCCTCATTCTTTATGTATGCCGAAAGAGTTGCCAAATCATATATCAGATTTGCGTTTGATTGACCAAAGAAAATTAATACTAACTACATTAGCTGTTCTGAGATGCAATCTTCACCTTTATCATTGCATTGAAGGTTCTATGGGTCAAACTTTTGATCATAAGTACCTTATCATCTGCTGGAAGGAACAATAGTAAGTACTGACCCATAAATCTGTATGATTATACCAAGGAACTTCTACATCTTCGTTAGAGAGGACCATCAGAAAATTTACAAATTTGAATAGTAAAAAACAGAGCTATAGAAAGCATATATAAGGCCTGTTTGGTAGAGCTTATAAGCTGCTTATTTCAGCTTTTAACTTAATTTAAGCTAAAATATTGTGTTTGGTGCAGCTTAAGTTAACCAGCTTATAACTTAAATCAAGCTATTTCTTAGCTTATCTCAAAAGCTGGTCAGGGGTGCTTAAAATTTTGACTTAAGCGCACAGCTGGTGTGGGGGCTAAAATTACTTAAATGCCCTCATCAATATCCAAATATTAATATTAATATTAATATTAATTAAAAAAAGTATACTTATGAAGAAAAAGAAAAAAATCAATATTAATTGAAAAATAAATATTAATTAAGAATATGGTTTGGATGGAATAAAACTCTTAGAAAATGGATTTATCAAAAAAGCTCCCATTTTTATATTAATTAAAAAATAAAAAATTGTATATTTCTGAAGAAAAAGAAAAAGAATAAATATTAATTGAAAAAATCAATATTAATTGGTATTAATTATTAATAAATTAATATTGTATACTTTTGTAATGAATTAATTATTAATTGATACTAATTAATAATATTATTAATATTAATTGATACTAATAAAAATTAAATATTAATATTAATTTATACTAATTAATAATTTTAGTATTAATTGATACTAATTAAGAAATTAATTGATACTAATTAATTTATAATGGAAAATAATTGTGACAATAATACTTCTATTACATTTTTAGCAAATGTATCAATTTTTATATTAATTGATACTAATTAGTACTAATTATATTAACTTTTATTAATGAAATATATTTTTTTTAAAATTAAAACTGAAAAAATGACAAAATAATCATTTTTACATCATGTAAGGACAGAAAGGACAATTATACAGTAAAATGTTATTTTACAGCTTATTAACCAAACACTACTCTGCTGCTTAAATCCATAATCCCACAGCTGCACCAAACACAGCTATAAGCCATAATCTATTAAGGTATAATCTATAATCACTTTTTCACAGCTCTACCAAACGGGACATAATAATAATAACTTGCTTTGCTCTTGCGTGAGAAACTGGCCTTTCTTTTCTTTATTTTATTGTGTTTTGCCAGCATGAGTAAGTAATCTCAAAATCGACAATTCCACACCTGACTTCTCCTTGTCATCAACTGAGTAATTTTAACCTACAAACTCCTTTCCAAGTTCTATAATTCCATTAAAAGGATCCAGGAAAAAATGCCTTTCCTTTAAAAATTATAGTTAAGGAGAGCTAACTAAGAAGCTTATTATCACGTACTTACAGTACTTCCAATTTCTAAAGGAACACATTTCATGTTTGATTGCTGTGGATAAGTAGCCCATAAAGCATCTCATATCCCATTATACATCAATAACTACCCAAAACAATGACTGCATAGTATGTTACATGGTCTAAGGTCCGCGTATTGCACATTTTGTTTAGAGATTATTTGCTTAAAATTATAAAAATTGAAAAATAATATATTATTTTTTCCATTTTTGTTTGTTGTTGTTTTTATTATTTTTTTTCTTTCAGTTTATCAATATTTAGAATATTTTGCTATATTTTTTTTCACTATAATTTCTCTATTTTTTTTCGAGCAATATTCTGGACATTTCGGTCAGTCTCCGATGATGTTCTTGACGTTCAACGAATATTCTGGACATTTCGGCGATACTCCGATGTACTTCCCCGGTGATGTTGAATATTTTGGTGAGTCTCCGGTGACTGTTTGATAAAAGTTCGACGGTGGTGAGATGTAGCAACGCTTTTGAAGTTATAAAAAAAAAAATAATTTGATGACAATTAAAAATATGTAAGACTAATTCATACAAATATTTTATTTTAAAATTAAATAAATTTTAAATTTTGTGTATGAAACTTACTAGTAAAGCCAAGTTTGGAAACTTATAAAAAAATTAAAAAGTCAAAAAGTTACTCGAAAAGTTAAAAAGTTAACACTATTCACCAAAAGTCAACAATTACGGCTGCACAACTTCCAATTCGAATTTTTCCCTACCAATTAATTTTTATAATTTTTTATTACACATTTTTTTATAAAAAGTCAAAAAATTAACCTAAACACTCATATTTTTAATCTCAATTTTTTAATCTAAAAAGATAAAAAGTATACTTATTTAAGATACCCAAACAACCCCAAAGTGTCCAAGGTGTATGATTTATGGACTTGGGCGCTAACCATGAGTTATGGGCTTGGACGCGTTTTTTGTTGTGGATTCTTGGAGGTGTAGTAGGTCTAGCATAGTGAGTGTTTGAGAAACTGTTATTTTAATAGTTTTTTTAGTTTTTAATTATTTTAGAAGGTTAAAATTTTTATATTTAAGAAGATAATTGAATTTTTTTTATAATTGAATATGATTTTTATAAGAAAAAAAAGTGAATTGATTATAAAAAAAAACAAGAAAAATGTTTGGGAGTACTAATTAGTGCTCACACTAATTAGGTGGTAGTGGGTCCCGTCATTAATGATGTGATGTTTTGGTCTTGGAGTTGTGTTTTTTTTTTTTTAACTTTTTTAATACATTAATGCTATTAATGGTGATGTTTTTAGTGGGATGAATCATTGTTCAAAAAATAATTCCCAAACAGCTCCATATGAAACCCCCGCTGCGCCCCCCTATATAATATGAATGAAAGAAGCAAGTTAGGGTTGAGAGGTAAAGTTAGGGTTTTGAGAATGGCGTGCACAATCGACTTCAGATGCCTGGACGAAGGATTTGGAGGCAAAACATACAAGAGAAAAAGATCTGAGCAAGCCGAAGAAGTGCTCAATCGATCCATCCAATCTCAAAACAACAACACCAAAGACGATGCCTCCATGGAAGTGGAAGAAGAAGAAGAAGAAGGGACACAGTCAAAGAGACAAGCAGTGTCATCTTCAGATAACCCAGACAAGCCGGTGGTGTTCGGGAAGCCTACATACGACGGAGTAATAGCAGGGAAGGTATCAGGGAGGAAGTGGAAGCAGCCGAGGACACACAGAGCGTCGGCAGTGTACGTGACTAGGAAGAGCACCACGTACGAGCAGAGGATGAAGCAGAAGGAGATCAAGAGGGCATACACCGAGAGGATAACGGAGCTCAAGGAGGAGATCAGGCACAACAAGGTGGAGAAGAGGAAGAAGCGACAGGAGAGGGACAAGAGGAAGCAAGACAACATTCTCAGATCTGGGACCAAGTTGCAGAAGATTACTAATCCCAAGACGCTCAAGAAGATTGCCAAATCTAAGCACAAGAAGCTCCTCAAGGTCGTCCCTGACGATCTTCTCAACAACAACAACAATAAGAAGAAGAATTAGTTTTTGTTTTTTTTTATTTTTTTTTTATTTTTATTTTTAATTGAGTATTTGGAGCCAAAAGACCTGATGTTTTGTATTTTTTTTTGTTACTTTGAATTTGGATGGAAATGGGATTTTGGTAGTATCTAATTTAGAGAGATATGGTGGTGGTGTTGTGATGTTTGATTACAATTCTCCTCTGCTCCTGTTCTTGAAATCTCAAGAAATGATCCTAGAATGGAAGTTTGAAGTCATGCCTCCCTCCCTCCCTCCCCAAGCTACGAGGTTAGGTTACCCATCCAGAAGTCTTGCATTAATATCAATGTTATTTTGGTTTAGTGTTCCCTTCATTGAAGGCTTATTATATGATAAAAAAGGATGCTTATTTATTTGGTTGGTCATAAATATTTATTCATTCATTCAGTCATTTTAGATCCCAGAGCGGCCCATTTATTAGGAAGATTCCCCTGAATTGTTCATACAGTTAGTGTCTCAAGAATAACAATGATGATGCAACGGCAAGAATCATGAGTAAATTCACAGTTATACCTCTCGTAGGTCTCGTTTGGGAACATGTTTTTTTAGTAATTTTTTTGGCTAAAATATAAGATAAAAAAAATTAGTATGTTTGGAATGATTTTTTGATTTTTTATGAAAATATATGCAAAAAAGTAGAGAGAAAAGAGAATTTTTGATTTTTTGATATAGGGTATAGGTTTTTTTAGTAACTTTTTGACTAAAATATTCGCATGCCAAATGAGGCCTTAATACTTTTCTGCACCTACAGGCTTTGTATTATCTACAGACTACGGTTCAGGTTTAGCACCTCATGTCGATCTATCATGCATGTGGATGAACTCTTCCTCTGGCAATATGAAGTAGTCATGCTATAGCTTACTATGGAGAAAGTAAAAGGAGAAAAACACCTCGAGAAATTTTGTAACTAACAGGCTATTCCTTATCAGCACCTTGAGAGACACAATCGATTTAGGCCTAGTTTGGAAAGACTAAATAAGTGCACTTTTTGACTTTTTATGAAATATGGGTTGAGTTTGGATTGGGTTTGAAGTGATGTATTAGAGAGATGATGTGACTTAAATAGGATAGTGACTTTTTGACTTTTTGTCTTTTTTCAATCTTTCCAAACTAGGCCTTAGTATTATTAATTTTATTTTCCCCTCAAACCTGTGCCTGAAAGTCAGGGATTTTGGCGGGTTGTGACCCCGGGGAATTGAAATTGTCTTGCCAGTTGGGAAGGCAGGCAAGAGTAAACATGGTGGCAGTGTGCATTGCAATTTTAAAGGGACTTGCTACTCATAAAGAAGGAAGTAAGCTTTACCATCTGGATTGGTAGTTGGTTGTTTAATTATAGCATGGGCATGCGTAATGGTATGGGTATTTTACTTTGAAGTTACAAATTGATTAACTAATTTGTTTGAGATAAGTTATAGAAGATGCAAAATTGGGGGATTTAGGCCAAGTTTGGCATTCTCAAAAAAAGTCAAAAAGTCACTATTCTATTTAAGTCACATCATCTTATTTAAGTCACATCACCTCTCTATCACATCACTTCAAACTCAACCCATATTTCATAAAAAGTCAGAAAGTACACTTATTTAGGACATCCTAAACAACCTCTTAGTCTCTTGGATGTAATTTTTTCAAAGCCTTTATACTCAATTATATTCACTTAAAAGAAAATAAGGAGGAAAAAGAGAACTATAAAATTTCGTCCATGTAGTAATAGAGATGACATGGAGAGAAAAAGGGGAAGGAAATTGGTGGGTTTCTCCCTCTAAACCTTTTAAGAGCCTTTAGTGGATATATGTTTTTGAACTCATTTGCTCATTATGAAGCTAGTGAGTGGTGGTTCTTTTCATTATTGTACTTGGAATTTCATGTGACGTGTGCAACAAATTAAATCTGCTTACTACATAGGTGCACACATGCAATAAAAAAAAATCCAATTGTTAAATCTATTGGGAACTTGTTCAGAAAGGGGACCTTTAATTTGTTTTATACATGCATATATTGTTTGATTTGTTTGTATATAGCTAATATGTGAGGATGTTTTATATGATGTTGTCCATTAAACATTGTACTTTCTAGTAACACTAATATTCCCATTTCAGTAAGAAAATAAGGTTGTGATTTGTGATCCTGTGCGTGAGTGGTTTCTTTTACAATCCTCCATTTGGTTAATGGATGACCCACGCAACAATTTGTAATTTTCTTTGCTTTCTATGATAGTGGAACTAGCTGTTGACTCCCAATCTTCTTTTTGTTATGCTGATGTGTACAGTCATACAAAGACAAGTTTTTGAATTTGGTTCAAGGTGCTTATTTAATCATTAGGAGCGTGATTAGAGCATACTCTAAGCAAATGATCAACTCTGGTGTAGTGACTTAATTGATGTTTTGCTGATAGTATGATTATATTGTGCCGTGCAATGTTTTGTTATATAATTTGACACTATTTTGTAATTTTATTTTAGCATATGTTGGATGCCATTTATGCATAATGTGTGCATTAAGTGGTGCTGTTCTTAGTGGATCACAATTTAAGTTAGCTGATTATAATGTTTATCATGGTATCACTGCACATGGGGAAGGAAGGGAAGGAAGTTATTCATTGATTGTGATCAGGTCGGTGTCTTGGTTGACATGTCTATCATGTTCTGCTGTGGATATTTTTGATAATTTGTGCCAATGGCGGTTGATCAGAGGAAGAAACGATTGACCACTGCCAGCGTTACTAGTTTTCAAGAGAAGAGCAGAGAAAAAAGAAAGAAATTTGGGTTGCTACAATGTGATTTAAATGTGAGATCCAATATTTCTCTCAAGTGGGATGACAAGAGGAAGAGTGTTGTTGCCAAGAGGGAGCAAATTAGCTTAAAATGGAGAGACTTGATTCCATTCATTGATTATGTTCCTCATTGCCACAATATATTGGCAGATGTTCTTGTTGTTCCTCATGAAATTTTTGAGTTGGACAATTTAAAAGAGGTGCTCTCTTACGAGATAATGCTAATTTCATGGTGATGCTTAACTACTGTCTTTTTTATGATTGATTTTTTACTCAGTATTTTCAATGTGCCTTTTGTGAAATTATTATAGGTTTGGAAGACTCATTTATCTGAAAATGAGAGACATTATCTTATGCAGTTTCTTCCTATGGGAGCTGAGATGCATCAAGTTGTCCAAGAATTGTTTGCGGGGGATAACTTTCACTTTGGAAATCCTTTTATCAAATGGCAAGTGTTGATATTTGGTATTTTTGAGTGGAAAATATATGGCTTAATTTTGTCAGTTTTTAAAAAAAAATCATGAAACTGATCCAATTGGAGGAAATAGATCCATGTAACTGATCCCAAGTAGTTGGGACAAAAAGCTTGTTGAGTTGAGAATTTTTTATTTTTTTGGCGCGTACAGTTGGCCCTTTAGTGGTTGTGGGCCAGTGGGCCAGTGATCCGATCCTAGACCTGTTCAAAATTCACTTGTTAATATAATGACTTTGATATTCGCCTTGTTTTGTGAATGAACTTGAATGTGCTCCTAATCAAGCCAATCCCGAGCTGTCCATAAACAACTGCAATTCACTTGTATCTGAAAATGAGAGACATTATCTTATGCAGTTTCTTCCTATGGGAGCTGAGATGCATCAAGTTGTCCAAGAATTGTTTGCGGGGGATAACTTTCACTTTGGAAATCCTTTTATCAAATGTCAAGTGTTGATATTTGGTATTTTTGAGTGGAAAATATAAGGCTTAATTTTGTCAGTTTTTTAAAAAAATAATGTAACTGATCCAATTGGAGGAAATATATCCATGTAACTGATCCCAAGTAGTTGGGACAAAAAGCTTGTTGAGTTGAGAATTTTTTATTTTTTTGGCGCGTACAGTTGGCCCTTTAGTGGTTGTGGGCCAGTGGGCCAGTGATCCGATCCTAGACCTGTTCAAAATTCACTTGTTAATATAATGACTTTGATATTCGCCTTGTTTTGTGAATGAACTTGAATGTGCTCCTAATCAAGCCTATCCCGAGCTGTCCATAAACAACTGCAATTCACTTGTTTCTTTTGTAGCCCTATTTAGCAACTGCAATTTTTAATTTATACGAGCTTTCTATTTTTGAAAATGTTAATCTTTTCATGCTTTATGGTGTAATTCCATATCCTTTCAGGGGTGATTCTCTTTGTTCTGGTAACCTTCATCGTGATGCTGTTCTTCATCAGGAACAATGTTTCAAGACAAGTAAGAAATCATATTACTCAGAGTTAAAGAAGTATCATAAGGGGTATGTAATTTTGATGAGCTACCTCTTTTTTCTGCTTTGTATTGTACACTGTGTTCTTCATTGTTTCTTTGCTTTAAATTGGATGGTCACAATTGTTTATGCTTTTTGTTGCAGCATGGTTGGTAATTTACTGACGTGGAAGGAAAATTGGGCTAGCTGCAAGGATCCTGAGAAGGAAATTGTGCGCAAGATATGGAGGTTTATATTTTGGATGTTTTCCTTTTATAGAAATTGTTGAGTTTGGCATAGGCAGAATCTTAACATGATGCTGATGTGTCTTTGGTCTTTTGCATAGTATCATTGCTAGTACTCTGAATAAGACTATAATGCTCAACTGTGTTTGATTTGATGTGGCACATATGCTTTCTGTGGGATTGTATGTTGTCTATTTATTTCCGAAAGGTGAGTGAACTATGTGAATGGCTCTGTTATTTAATTTTGCAGCTATGCTTACATAATCTTTCATTTGGTATGCTCTGGTACTGCTTGTAATAGGAAACTCCTTACAATCAGTTTGTAGTGGTTCTCCAACATTTTCTAGAACTAATACATACTTTTTAACTTTGTGAAGCATCTTTTATGAAAATTGTTTATTTAGTTTGACGTTCATTTATATGCATATTAGACTGCAAATAACTGCAATTGATATGTTTGAGGATATCATGATGGTGTTGAGGGTGATTTGCATCTTGCTTGAATTTTAAGGAATGGTGTCTTTGAATTGGTGATCACTTCTTTGTTTGTTTGTCTTGTAGATATAATTTTTGAAGCTCAGTTAGATATACATTTAAATTTTATGAGCAGGTCTCGAAAGCAAGTTGAGAGAAATATGTCTACTGATGCAAATGAATATAGATTTCATGATGCTGAGGACGACTTTGCAGCCATGTCTGAATCTGGTTCTTGGGCTACTGACGAGAAAGCTGGTAGTAGTAGTGATGACCAGAACTTAATGAGGAAACATGGAGAACTGCAAACACGGTAATTAAGCTCTTCTCTATGTATGGGCTATGCCAGTGTCTATACATTGGTTTCTCTGAATTGCCCTGGTCTTGCAGGAAAAGAGACCAGATTTGACCCTTTTTTTACCTTATTTTTTTGGGGTTGTCAAAAGTCAACTGATTATAGGTTATGATTTCCTCAAAATTAGCAAATGCTGTGCTGTTGGAGTATTATAAATGACAGGCACTTACAAGCAATATACACGAAGGGTTTGATTTATATAAAGGGAAATGCTAATGACTACCTGATGGGTGGTCATTAGCCTTGATTCATGTGTACAAAATGTATTGAAATGTGTTAAAAATGTGAAAGTGTGTAGAATTATGTGAAAAGTGCATTGGTATTTCTAACTATTTTGGCATTTTCCCTATCTTAATGACTGCCCATGGAGCTTGCATTAGCATGAACCTTATGTACATGCCTATAAATTTAAATATCTACATAGAATATGTATCTTTTTGTATCTAAACATTTATACATCCATAGATCTAAATAATTAAACACACACACACACATACATATATATATATATATATGTATAAATCTGTGTGTGTATGTGTGTTTGCACGTGCAAGTGTCTGAGCATGGTCTTGAATTAGAGGCAGATTATCTTATTGGACAGTTTGAAAGAGAAAAGCTATTTGTTGTTAGAAACAATGTTTTGTATTTTTTTCTGATGTTTTATTTATTTATGTTTGGTAATATTTTGGCAGTGTTTGGTAGAGTTTTAGAATTATGATTTGAAAAAATAATTGTATTTTGAGTTTGCGAGTTTTGGAATTATGATTTAAAAAGAGAAAATTTGTTTGGTTATGAGTTTTGAAAAGAGTTTTGAATTTTTGATGTGACATGAAATGAGAAAAGTTGTTTGGTTATGAGTTTTGAAAGAGTTTTCAAAACTTAATTGAAAAACTTATAACCCATAACCAAACACACAACTCAAAATTCTATTGAAAATTCTATTCAAAACTCATAATCAAACTCTTTTTAAAATTCAATTCAAAAAAATAATGTCATTTTGGTCTAAAAAAATAATTTCTATATTTAAAAAATATCAAAAACAAATATAATTTTTTTTCCCTCCAAATAACAGGTGGCGATTGGCAATTGCAAAAAAAAAAAAAAAAAGTATTGTTCCGGTCAATCGGGTAGACTACCGGGTGGACCAAAAATTCAAAAATTGTCTGCTTTACCAAACATGTTTTCAAAATGTATTTTGAAATTGATTTGGAATCATGATTTGAAAACTCAAACCAAACATAGCATTAGAATGTACGGGTGGAATTAATTTTAGAAACCTCTACCAAACACCGCCTTTATTTTTTTCTCTCTAGGTGACATGGTTGAAGTTGTCATGCTTAGCATTCTTTTTTTTTTTTGGATAAATTAGCACTGTTTTTATTCTCTTTCAAGGGAAAACAGAAGTGTTTGATACTGTGATTTTTAAAGTCTTCCTACTTCGTTAATTTTCATTTCTTTTCTCTTCAACGATGTTCTGTTTTCATTTCTTGTCTAGTTCTATTCAATGCATGAAGGTTTACTTAGTTTAGTATTTACTGCGGATGAATTACTGAACAAAATATTTGGCTCAAATGGATAAAATGTTGCATACTATTATTGCACAAAGGAATCTTGTGTTTTAGAAATTTGACAGTACCAAGTTATCTTCCAACTTGTGGTTTGTGAATGTTTGCTCCATAGGCCCAATTCAGATTTTTATCTGGCAAGCTACAAGCCATTAACATGCTGGCTTGTAACAATGCTTTTCACTTTTCCATATAAACTGTGCAATGTCATTGTCTGGAAATGACTGTCTGTATCACAGCATATAAGAAACTATTGCTGAAGTGGGTGACATATTGGTATCAGCTGTCGTCCAGCTCTATGTACACATGCAGTACACTATGTTAACAGTACATTCCCCCTCCCCCCCTTTTATCTCTTTCACGCCTTCATGCAATTGCACATGCCTCCATATAGGAGCTCACCTTTGTGAATGAATTGGAAATCTATCGTTGGAATGGGTTGAGAATGTTTTAGTTTGTCTAAAAATCATATGATTCAGTCAGCTGCTTCTGATGTTTGTGAGGCATGTTATATTTTCAATTTTACTTGGTGCACCTGTCATGAAGGAGTTGTGTTTGGTGTTGTGATCTACAGAAGAGGCTTCATGGGGGACAAATATGATAATTCATCAGCTGGGCTTAAGGTGGTAGCAAGACCTAGAAAAGGAGAAAGGCTGCACAGGCAAAATATGCAGTGTGGTGATGGTTCCAAATATATGTCTTACATCAAGGTAGATCATTCTAACATATTGGCAAATTCTACCAAATAAACTAAATGGGACTATACATTTGTTAAGATATGCATTTTTTGTATTATATTAATTATTGAGGGTAGTTTAGTCATTTGCTTCGCTTTTATTAGGGTTTATCATTATTTATTAGGCTCTTTTGTATTAGTGTTTGTTTATTTGTTTTGTTCGTCTTTTCTTAAGTTCAATGAAACACAAGAGCATCCATTAGTAGGAATGGCATCTCTCCTAGTTTTATCATGTAGTCGTATTTTGGCTTCCAATTATTCCTCTGTCTCCCTTTATTGATTTATTATCATATTTGGGAAATTGGGACTATGGTTAATGGAAAATCATTTTCTATTCAAGCTATTATTGTGAAATTGATGGATGACAATTACACTTGTTTTTGGTAAAAACATGTGTTGTTATGATTTTGGGGTTGTTAAGATGCCTACGGATACAAAGGCTGAAATTTTTTGAGTTATTTTCAACTTGGTGCTAATATTTCTACCTGGACAAATAATTTTGTGGATCAATCTATTGGTGTTCACTTGACTACATTCACAGAAGCGAAGGAAGTTTGGGACTATCTCTCCAATTTATATGTTCAATCGAACTTTGCCATGAGATATCAATTAAGAAGAAAGCAAATTCAAGTTAGTGTTTGTGACTGATCATCTGCCTTCATTGCATTTCAGGTTAGCAAGGAGCAGCATCAACGTGTTAGGAGTAGTATGAAGAATTCCAGTAATAGCATTCAATCTAGGTCTCTTAATCATGTTTTGGGTAACCTCAATACTTTTCATGTCCAACCATTTGAAGTATTTGAGAAAGAAGAGTGGAAAAAGTTGCGTGAGCATTGGTTAGATCAAGCACATGCCCAAAGATTGTTTTACTTCAAGCACTTTCTCCCCTTCAAATTTCAGTGTTGATTATACAGGCTGCAGTTGGTAAACAGAGATCTTCCAGTAGCATTTGCAAACTGGAGAACTTGGCAGATAAAGAAATGGCAAATGGTTCAATCTTTGGACCGAGAAATGGAAGAAAATTTAAAGTCAGTTAAGGAGGTTTGATACTTTGCCCCAGTAGTGCCAGAAAATGCTTTTTACATTTTGGAACAAACATTCCAAAACATGATACACTTACGTTCCAAAATGGCGAATTTAGTGATCCAAAGAGATCTCAAATTTTTTTCCCCATTTGATTTTCTTTAAGGCTGTGTTTGGATCTTGAATTTGTGGAGGGAAAAGAAAAAGGGAATCCATAATTTAGTCAAGAAGAATGGGCCCTAATGCTTTTATTTTAAACGATTAATTAAAAAGAGAATGTGTTTCATTAGATGTTTAATTGTTGAAAAGTTCCAGAAGTACCTTAAATTCTAATAGTGTAATCTATACGAGTCATTGTACCACATTTTAGAGCATGTGGTGGTCTACCCTGTAACAAAATGATCCGCAATTTAGTTAACATAGCTTTGCCCCTCTCCTTCTTTGTCTGTTTGTGTTGAGTTGAGTCATGAGTGTGGGTGTCTTCGGCAGTGGAACAAAGTAATTGAATATTCAGCATATCCTTAATGTTTGGAGCTAATCTTTGATGGATACATAATGATAATTTCTCAGTTTTTAACTGGGTGAGCAGGATGAGGAGAAAGAGACTGCTCTTAATATGCTGCTTGATCTGACAGATGATAGAGCAGCTGACTTTGAAGCGACAATTACAGTGGAGGTTTGTTACCGGCTTACTCTGCCCTCTGGGTGTCAGAACACATAAAAATAACTTGTTCAAGTAGTTCATAGATACTTTTTAAGGTGCCAATGCTATTGTGATAATTAATTTGCATTAGTTGTGTTATGTTAACTTGTCAGTTTATTATGGGGTTGTCAGGTTGAGGAGAAAGGGACTTCAGACAGCTTGATTCAGGAGCAGATAGATGATGGAGCAGAAAATCATAATCCTGACATTGCATTAGAGGTTTGTGCTTTTTAGTCCTTGCTTTTGCTGTGTTTTATTGAGAGTGGATATCTTTGCTTTCAAAATCAACGTTGTTATTCATCAGATCCTTTTTTTTTTCTTGTGAGTGAGAATTTTCATCAGATCCTAGCTGAATGCGTCTCTTTATTATGATGAGTAGCGCATTTTAACTTACTAGTTTGTTGTTTGGATGTTCAGGATGAAGAGAAAGAGAACCCTGATACTGTAGTTCAGGGGATGACAGATAATGAAGCAGCTAAACATGTATCTACCATAGAAGATGATAACGAGTCTCTTCCTGTCTCCACACAGAATCAGCATCTGCAGCCAATTCCTTCACTCAATGGCAGACATGAGTTCAGTCCCATGGATTTGGATTCTGATAACAATGTAAATGTGGAGACAGATGACATTCCTCATAATGTATCAGAGTACGCAGAAAATTTGAACCATGTGGACATTGCTGTTAGTCAGGGGGATCCTCTTTCTTCTACTAGTTATGTTCGGCCAGCAGTTGGCATGCCCGATTCTTATTATTATTGTACTACTTCAAACCACGATTACATGTCAGCACATGAGTTGTCAATTGGGCATCCGCGGCATTTTGAAGAGCAACTGGCCAGACGGATTGATCTGGAATCCGACAATCAGGAAGAAGGCACAGAGAAAGCTCTGTTGCACAGACAACCCATTGAAAGGCCCTGCTTCAATCCATACACTGACAAAGAGGTTCAAGATCGAAATGAGCTACTGCAACATTTCTTTAAGGCCCAGGATGGTTTACCTTACCGTCATGAGAAGAAACAGAAAGGGTTAGATTTTTTGCTAGAGACTGGTCAGTTTTCTGGGCATGTTGGGCAGCGTCTCCATCCGTCAGTGTCATTAATTATAATTATCAAATCAAATCCCATTAGTTATGGTTCTCAAAATTTAATTTCATTAATTATGCTTGTTTATAGTTATAAAATAAAATTTCACTAACGGGTTTGGAATTTTTAAGTTGGCCATCTCAACTTGAGAGAATATTTGGATTCGGTGAGCCTATTTTGGGGCCGACATTGGTAATTTTAACCATTTACCTTTTAAGATTTGTTTAGTAAAATATTTATATAAAAATAAAATGATCATATATCGATACCTATATATTTTGATCATAGTTGAGATGGCCAACTTAAAAAATTCTAAATCCGTTAGCGAAATTTTATTTTGTAACTATAAACAAGCATAATTAATGAAATAAAAATTTGAGAACCATAATTAATGGGATTTGATTTGATAATTATAATTAATGCAAGGGATATTTAGTCTATCATCCCTCACCAATTTTTAATAATGAGAGAAGTTCACAATATTTTTATTTTGTAGTCTAAGATTCCTTACCCATACACATGTTCATTGTCAAACTTCTTCTTCTTTCTTAGGGTTCTAAGAGTTGCAAACACATTGGTACTGTTCAGAACCAACAACTCATCCTTTCTATTTACACCTCCCACCATTCTCTTAACTCAATCTCAGCGCCGCTGATGCTTCAAGCAAACAAAGTTTATTAAAGATTATAGTGATTTGATGAAGATTGAGAAGATCGAAGTTTGAATCAATCAAAAAGTGATTGGAAAAAAGTGAAGGAAAGCAACCAGATAGCAGTCAAGGTAAGAAAATGTTGACTTTAGTTGAATTTGATGGTAATATAGTATTCACCCAAAAAAAATGATGATATAGTAATTACAATAAAATCAGATTGAGAAAGACGATTAATTTTCTAGTTGAATTTCTAAGCAAATCGGTGAGAAAATTCAACCTAGAGAAATTTTAAAATACAAATTTTTTTTCAAAACACATAAAAGAATTAGTGCAATTGAGCAAACCAAAGAAATTTCAAAACACAAATAAATTTGTCTGAAATTTTTTTAGATCAAAATTTCTTTAAAAAAATATTGAGGAATTCTAATTATTATAAAAATATTAAATGTCTTTTATTTTATAAAATCTTAATATTAAGGACTTTAAAAAAAAATTTTCCATAATGCAATATCAATTTGAGAGTTTTTAATCTTTTGTTATGACGTAGGACTTTTTGGGTTAATAGAAAGTCAATGAAACATACGGTGTATAAGTTCCGTATATGAGATTTTTTTTAAAACCCCTAAAATTTTTATACTTTTATCACATACTGTAATTCTTTAGTGTTATTTTAAAATTATTTTATGAAACATTATTAATAAGTTCTATTTTGATTTAAATATTACTGTAAAGTTTTATCAAGTTTTAATATGAATAATTAAATTCTACATGTAATAAATTGTTCTAAAAAGATCTATTTCTCCATAATGATGTATTTTATCTCAATTTCACTATTCTCATTTAATATGAACAACAATTTCATAAATAATTTTAATTTACTTAAAATATTATTTTCTTAATTCTAAAAATTATGAATATTATATTAAATAAAGTCATAAATAACTATTGATCCAAAGAATTATGGCATAAAATTCATCATTTTCTATTATTTCAAACTATATATATATATATATATATTGATAAACAACCTAAATGACCAAATTTTCTTAAAATTCTTTCAATAGAACTATATAAATAAAATCATGGCGAATTCATATATTTTTAAATGCGTGAATTAATTGATGAATTAGGTCATTTAGAAAGTTCTAAATCCTATACATATGCTGTCATTTTAATTTTAACGATTAAAAATATTTATAAAATTTATGTTCATGAAAAAGGACAAAATTAGGATAAAATACACTATTGTTAAAAAATGAATTCTTTGGGAACAATTTATAAAAACTAAGATTTAATTCTCCATATTAAAATTTAATAAGACTTAATTATAATGTTTAAAAAAATAAGATTTATTGGTATTTCCTTTATCAATTATTGCAAAATTGTCGCCACTTTGAAACAACTAAAAAAGGGGGTTAAAAGCTAGAACTCGAAACTACTTAAGTATACCTTCGTTTAGGGAGTGTGTTGGTTTTTTGACTTTTTACCTATTTTAGTTTAAGGTTAAAAAGTCTCGTTTAGAAAGAATTTTTTGACTTTTTTGATTTTTTGTGAGAGAAATAATGTAATGATTATGGGTTGGATGTGATGTTTTGTTTTATTAAATTAAAAAGTCTGCTTTATTTTTTGTGACTAAAATAACCCCAAACTCAATCCAACTCATCTTCCCAAATAAAAACATATGTTTGTTTTAAATTTTATTCATTTAAGCCATTTTAATTTTTTAATTATTCAACAAAATTTGCCAAATAAATTGTAGGATAGGATTGATGAGGTGCCACTTTGAAACAGCTAAAAAAATGGGCCCTGTTTTCGTGGTTGGCAGTTCATGTGTCCCATCATTTAGGAAGTTTGGCAAGCTAAAAAAAAAATTAAAAAATTATTAAGAACTATTCATCAAAAGTTAAAAAGTATGGTTCCACAATTCTCAATCCTAATTTTTCTCTACATACTAATTTATATAATTTTTTAATACACATTTTTTTTATAAAAAGTCAAAAAGTTAACCCAAACAATCATATTTTTTTCCTCAACTTTTTAGTCTAAAAATTCAAAAAGTAAACTTATTTAGGATATCCCAAACAACCCCACATGTGCTAAATTATTGGCTACCGACTCCATACTTTTGTTTTTTTTTGATTATCTCTGCTCGGAACTTAGGTATGAGAGGAGAAGGTCATGAATTGAGCACCTCCGCTCGCCCGATCAAAGATTGACCTCTACTAATCATAATGTGAATCTTATTTACATTATATGCTCTTGTTCCGATTATTAGGTTAGGATTATTATGTGATGCGCACACACACAAGTATAGACTAACTTGCAAAAATTAGAACACTTGATTTCATGTTTGTTTTTTGAAAAGAGTTTGCGAATGTGTCACTTGAAAAAGTAGGCTCAAATGTACATGAATCAAACTATCACAATTCAAGCAATTAGCTTTCATCCACAGGTATTCAAACAGTTTATCACTTAAACACTTAGCCTCATGGTGAATATGCTTAGCATGGCAACAATCATACGCATGCAATATGCTAGAGCAAGTAAAAGCTCATCTAGTACTCCAAGTCAAAAAGATGATAAAGTTAGAATAATGCATGATCCTAATTATGCAATATGGCTAATGCAACACATGTGATATATAATCTAAATAGGCTCGGCTATTTAACATAACATGTGAATCAATTTGATATCATGCGGTCTAAGAAGTATTTAAAGAAGCGTTAAACTAGCAATGCAAGTTAACATGATGAACCGAGCCTCGATGCATACAATACAAGTGCATGCGAACGTGGAGTATGCTAAATGAAACATGATGCTTTAAACTAACCATCATAAGTAGTTAAATAAAAGGAAGAAAGACGTGAGGTTAGAAGACATACACGTTATTACAATTACTTGCCCTCGCGCAAGAGGGTCTGAATAAACTAACTAGCTAAGCTAATTAAAGCTAATTAACTAACTATTACAAATCCAAATGAAATAAATTAACTAAACTAGCAAATTAATTACAACACTTTACAAGACAAAATTAAATAATTAAACTAAACAGCCTCGGGAACCGAGGAGTGCTCATGCATGTACGCAGATTTCCACCTGAAAAAGCCACTGTTTTGCTGCTAGGAAGCCTCCGTTGCACAATTAGAACACTTGCACTGTTTTTCATCTCAAAATCAGCACTATTCTATTTCAAAAGGCCACTACTCAATTTGACAAAAGTGGCCAGCAGGCCAGAAGTGGTAGTGGCCGGCCGGCCACCCATAAATAGTAGCCTACCGTCCCAAAATGGTGGCCTACCGGCCACAAAATCCTAGTTCTTCATGTTGCAACAGAGAGCAAACAGAGCACAACCAAGGTATTTTCAAGGGTTGTTTGCACAACTTATCTTTTCTTATCATCAATCAGCTCAAAGAAGTAGTAAATTTGATTCACAAACCATCAATGGATGCAATTTCGTTGCATGATAGCCTATGAACCAAAGGATAAAATTTCAATAAATGCAACAAATAAAGACTCTCAAAACCCTTCCCTATCATGAATTGATCAAGGGAAGTGGTTGACATTGACTCTTGAACCGTTTACATCACTAACAAGTATGAAACAATTCAAGACTCAAGGGTTTAATTAACGTTCGATTGAACCCTAACCAAGTTATTATCTTACATCATTTTTAGTCCTCATTTTATTACTCATTTTAATTACTAACAATTTCTTAGTAAATTAAGTCAAGAGGTGAGCTTTAAGTCCTCTAATTGAAAGAAGCATCAAATCAAGAGTAGTTTTAGGCATAAAGAAGTGTCATGCCGTTGGTAATGAACCTCCAAAGGGATTAAACCATTAAGCACAAGACCTGAATATCATGTTTTAAACAAGCAACTAGTTTGAAACAACTTTCAAAGCAAAGTAAAAGTCAAGAAAGGAGGGAGGTTGCAGAAGTGATTAGGGGTGAAAACAAGTATGTAAAGTCATAAACAAATGTTATCAACTCAAATAGGTTGGTGGCTAAGGCCTAGACCACTAAGCCTATGAGAACAATTACACTACAAGCATGCAATACAATGCTCAAATGCAATAAACCACTAAAAATAGTCCTAAAACAGTGCTAAATCAGTCCTAAAACATGTTAGAATTAAGACAAAAAAAGTTAGAACAATAAGTTAAAACATGGAGCATGTTAAGCTAGTAAACAAAGCATAAGGAGGAGGGAACTACCCCCTCCATTTTTGAGACTTCAAAACAACATTTTAGTCACTGAAAAAGCTCTGAAAATCAATGTTTAAAAGGTAAAAAAAAAGTAGTGTAAAGGTAGGAAACACAAGGGTAAATGCTAGAGAAGCAAGGTAAAAAGAAAGGTAAATCACCCCTCCACACTTTAAGGCCTTAAACCACAAGTTTCAGCCTAAAGTTATAGAGTTTATACAGTCCAAAAATAGTAGAAAAATGGTAGGAAACGAAGTAAACAAAGCAAGGAAACAAGCCAAGCCTTATACCTTTTGAAGAGGAGAACACTTCTAAGCAACAATTCAACACATACACACCCTCGAGAGCTCAAAGTAGGCTCAAAAGTACCTCAGCTCAAAGATGACAAGGTTTAGTTTAGAGTGTATAGGCAAAGGCTCAAGAAATTTACAAGAGAGAGAAAATATTTTGCTCCAAAATTTTTCAACCTTGAAAGCAAGAGGGGAGGTCCTCTATATATAGACAAACATCAAACTCCCTCAGAAATATCAATACATACAAGTGTAAGCAAGTGCACGCATTTGTGACAACAACTGGCATAGCTGGCACAACTGGCAAAAATATCTGCCAAAACACACTTGTGGCCGGCAGGCCACATAAGTGGCCGGCAGCCAACAGTGGTGGCAGGCAGGTCCCAAGGTTTTTCAGGCTTGAAGAATTATGGTTGTGGTCCAAAACAAGGCAAGAGGTGTATAGGGTTTAAAAGCTTAAAGTTGTGGCATTCTGTTGAGGACTTCGAGCACTTGACTAGCATATACACATTCATCATTGGGTGTGCAAGTGGTGACGTTCAAGTCGTAAGGGCGGTCAA